ATCGCTGTTTTTTTTCCTGAAGGACATGAAGCAATCCAGATTACATATTAACCGTGTGGAGTTTCGTTTAAGTGACGAGTTGCGATTTGCGTGTGGATAATAAGTTATTTGAAAGGTGGAATAATGACATTATGGTTTCATTAAACCTTTTATTTCGAACTTTGTTGTGATTTTTTCTTTATCAAGACATGGAAGGAAACATTGATTGACTCGATTGCATTGCGGCGGTGATAATATCATCGTATCTTATGCAAATTTTCTAACAGTTTTCTGACAGTTTTCAGATGATTCGAAATATCTTAGTTCCTTTCAAAAGGAAAAGATAACTGCCCGAATCCGCTATTTGTAACAAGATGCCTCTGTTTAAATGTAGTACTGCCGCTGACAAGTTACGATTTATACTCTCAAATTCTCAGTGTTTACGAGCGTTCAATCAAAGTTTTCCTTTTTTTTTTATTATTTTTACTTAAGAATTCGCGGACATCTGCTGACATTTATGAAAAATATCCATTTGCCGTCTTCTTTGAAGCGACCGACGGAAACCTCACGGATAAATACAGCGTCATGCCATCGTGATAACGTACATGTTAATGACAAATGACCGGTGTGAGGATAGTTTCGTGTAGATCAGCCGACTTGAACATGTTTCAAAAGACATACAAGTATAAGAGTGTATCTTCAGAGGATTTTGGATTGCTCAAAGTCCCATGAAAGAAGGTGCAGCACTCGGAATCTGGATGATATGCACACGATTTGAGGTATATGTTTGTAGTTACGTCGAGTAGTCCTCCATGAAGGTTGGTCGATTTTTTTTTTAAAGATGACAACCAGAGGCGAGATTTCTCTTCGGGATATTGCTCATGAGATAACATTCTTTCAAAGCCTCGCACGTTTCATTTGTCTGAAACGTTTGTTGTTTAGAAAATTAGATGTAAACATCGCCAAATTATGCAATATCTGATTTTTGAGCTTCGTTCGCGAATTGCCCCTATGGAAAGTAGAGGCAGGCTCGCAGAGATTTTTACATATCTAAAAACTAGAATATTATAACCAGCTAGGTGGGTAGTTTCTGTTCCAGAGTCCGTGTACTTTTGAAGAAATTTAGATGAACGTTTTCCCTGTTTTACCCGATAACAAAAATGACCGGAACTGTGCCGAGATAAATAATCTATTGGTGTGCTCACATTCACTCCCAGGGAAAATTAAATGTATCAAATTGAAGACGAATGATGTCACTATGTATGGTAGAAGTGCCAATTTGTGATGTTGTATTTAGCTTGAGATAGAGAAATAAACATTTCACTCTTTTTTTGCGACGTTTTTTTATGAAAATGAGGCCTCAGGCCTCGAACAAGCAGCCATTGTTACCATGGCAACAAGAGTGCTGCAACCTTTAAAAAGGGGATTTTTGTGCATCCCCCCTGAGTGCTTAACTGCATGCAAAATTTGAAGGGGGTTGAAAATTTTCATTTCCTGAGTTCTTTGATTCTTACAGAGACTTGTTCTTAAGTGTATTAGCTCTTCTCTCCATATTGACAGATTGCCATTGTAAATTTTTGTTAGCATCGTCTTGGTAATGTTTTATAAAGCGCGGAAGCCCCATATGCAATTCTACGACGATTGTTCTGTAAAACACAATTGTAACGGCAAATGCTTACAATATAATTTCGTTGTAACATAAACATCCCCTGAATAAAGGCGATAGATACCAAACTGAACAAGAAAAATACGTTTACATAGGCTTTAGGAGCATAAATAACTCATTCTGCGCAACGTTCATTAAACATCCTAATCTGGGAAAAATTTTTTTACTAATATGAGAGTGTCCTTTATTACAAAATTACGTGAGCAAAAACATACCTCCACTCCCTAAACCTCCACTAGTTACCACGATCAAGATTGGAACCTATAGAGAGAGGGATTTTTTGGTTCTGTAGGTTAAAAAATACGTTTATCTCTCAGTGTAATGATCAAAAAGAGAAAAAAATTAAAAGGCAACCTGCTCACCTTCTTATTCTTATTCTCTTCTTATTCCAAACCGAGAAGAAGCATGTTACGTAATCACAGTTTCAGCACATAATCCTCCTAATTATCATTTTGGTGGAAATTGGTGGTGATGTAGACAAATGGAAGTACGAATAATTTTTTAGATTGAAGGTAACTGGAAATTTATTATTTTTCTGTTGTCCCATTTTTTGTTTTAAAGCAGAATAATTTCTTAATACATATCTTTCTGTGCTGATTGACTGATAGCCTGGTGCAGGATGTTGATGAACATGATCGCACATATTAGAGTGCTTAGGTATCCCACAGCTATGCAAATATTCCACAAGTTTTTCGTTATTTATTCTTTTGATGGATTTCTTGTTTTTGAACTGTTAGCTTGACTATTGATTTTGCTCACAGTGTACGTATTGTACTCATTTTGTGCGTTGGTGAATATGAACGAGAACCCCCGACAGTATATTATTCTGTTAGACTACCTAGGCTATCACTACATGGTTACTGCAAAGGTTATTAAATTATGAATAGATAGGCTTTCCTAGACACAGTTGTTTTGAATATTCCGACTATGATAAAGGCGGGGGTTCATTAAGACAGTTTTCAATCAATACAGTCTCCTGCAAGCAATTCGTTCCCTGGGAACAAAACGACCTCAGATAAATTTCTCTTTAAAGCTTGATGTACATATGCCAAAACGGGATATCCTTCAAAATAAGAATCTTTTATTTTGATCTAAAAAATAACTTTGTGTATGAGTGAGTCTAAATTCCCGTAGCGCTTGATTGTCATGTTTTTGATTATTACGGAGGACTCAATGAGAAGATGCACAAAAGCCAATCCGCATTTTTTTTTACCCAATCCTTCGAGTCAACGTCATTGAAAAACCCAAACTGCGTTGTTTTCTAAGACTTCTTACATTAAAACGTATTAGTATACGCACTCGCCAACCTTGTAGAAAATAAAGCATTAGATAGGCTTACATGAAGATGACATAAAGAAAGTTTGAGAAACATCAATTTTTTACATCCACTGGTTACGACGTACATGTAACTGTGTAAATATGAGTGAAATATTTTCGATATCAATTTTTTTCTTTATCAAGTTGGTAATTTACAGAACGTTAAGTCTGACTTTCAATCTTTCAACGAAGAGTCTGACTGATCCTCTAGATATCGCTGTTTGCATGAATATATTGTAACTATAAAAATTTAATACGTAATTCTCTCATACGTGAGAACATATTGGGTTTCTAATTTTCTAGAGCAAAATAAGCCCGCAGACGCTGCTTTTGTTTGAATAACAAATTTTTATGCAATCCCAATATACCGTGTTCAATGGAAGCCCTTTTAATCCAGGAAAGTTACAGATATTATGTAACTTTTATTCTGTAACGATATAACCGTGCTGCTGGACAATTCCACATGATCCTTAGCTCTAAAACGTCACTGATTAATCATGGGGAAAACGGCACTGAGGACCTATTGAGGACCTATTAGAGGAATGATTTGAAATTTGAAGCCATAGTAACAAAGTGTATGTTCGCTTTAAATTAACTTAGGATATAAATTTACATTTTTATCTTGCTAGGGTGATACCTCATAATCTCCTCAATACCCTTAACGACTAGATCGATCACAGACGTTTAGCATGGCGATAGAGAATTAAGCATAGCGTATTTGCGGATTCCTTTTAGATGGGTTGATAAAAACCTGATGAAGATTTATTTTACGAGAGCTTAGTTCTTAATAATTTAATTAGTGAAACTTGGGTATACCACTATTTGATAAACAATGCAGGTGTTTGCTTTTCGATCATCTTCGAATAAGCAAATGATATGCTTAAATATAATTTCTTTATACAAAATATCATGGGGCTGTCTTAATGTATCTACAATTAGCTGAAACATGGTGATTGAAGAGTTGTATCTTTGTGTAGAATAACACTCCTGTTTCTACCAGTCTCTTAACCACTAAATTATTGTGTTTTTGTTGTTGTTCTTGTTTTTTTTGAAGGACTGGGGGGTTGTGGGACGAAAACGTTTACTTAAATATAAAATTGAAGTAATAGGAGGTTGAAAAGGTCAATGTGTCAACAATTTTGTCGCCAATTGTAGCTACGGTGAAAGCAAAACACCTCTCATTTCAACTTTAATCCACAATCGGAAATGAATTAGTGAGAACGATCTTTATTAGCCAACACACGACCTTTAAGTTTTTCTTCATGGGCAAAGGTTTTAGAAATGGGATTACCACTTTTTTTGTAGCAAGTGGAGTGGAAAAATTTCTTAATGAAGTGATATTTAGCTGGAATTTTTCTCTGAGGCTGCTAGGGGCTTGACTTAAGCACCGTGGTTGATATTGGTGGTCAGGCTTGTACCCTGTCACACCTCAACCACTGGGCTAACACTCCATGGCTAGATGGTGTTTTCAGCATGCCTTTGGAGCAGGGAGGCTTATTTTACATTGCAAATACTTGGTGGCTGTGTCATCTCATATTTCGAGCAGTATATCGGCTACCTTCGCGAGCATCTATTTCAACACAATATGGAGTCAATGAACCTCAAACACCATTTTCCCATCTTAAAGAAATGCAGGAGAAATCTTGACTACCTGACATATGAAAGTCATATATCAGACATCTTAAGCCAGTTGTCAATACTCAAGTAGGGCAAAACTGTTTTTTTAATGAACATATTTTCTTAGTAATCACATGTTCTGTCACTTAAAGTATTCTTCCACCTTATGTGCTTGATTGTAGATTCTTTTACGATGCAAAACCTAAGCTACAATGGCATCCGACGATGACAAAACGTCGTGTATTTCGTTTGATAATTTTGTTGTTGGATATTTCCCTCAAGCCTTACTTCTAAGATGCAATTACCTAAAAAAATCATTTAATGATATCTACGCTTCCAAGAAAAGCCAAAAACAATTTCAGCAAAAGAAAACTAAGCTAACTTAGGGATGATCTTTTGGTTTCTTTTCTTAATCACGCACCGAAGGATTTATCATTAATAACAAGAGGTCAGTAAAGTCATTTTCCTCTTTCAAATAATCAGCCTCCATGTATTCTGTTCGTTGAGTGAGAACAATAAGTCTCTTTTCCACTTTTAGCATTCGTTCCTCTGTACATTGGATAATACATCCAGAATTCAAACAGAATGGTTCTGCTTCAGAAAGGCACATGTTGGCGAATATTGCCTCATCGCAAAACAACTTAAACTCAGTCCGATTAATTCCCTCGTGGAAATTTTCCATTAAACGCTCCTCAATAAAACGTGCCATTTCAAGCTCTTTTGCATTTTCCTCTGCGTTTGATTTTGCGTCACCGTATGATTCGTTAAGGATAGAAATCAGAATATTCATAAGAAATATACTTGTGAATATACAAAACAAAAACGCAAACGTCGGACCAATGAAGGGTTTGTCCCTTCGAAGAGCGTCCATTGGGATTGCTTTTCCTAACAGGAATTCGAATTGCGACATGACTGCATTGAGGTAACTAGAATACTCTAATACCATACCACCGAAAAATATCATACCTGTTACAACAAATGCATTAAACACGATCATAAAAAGGAGCACATACGAGAGTTGACAGCCTATAGATTGCCGAAAAGACGAAAACAAGTATATTACATGTGGGTTAAAACGAATTAGATTCAGAAGCTTGACTGTCACCATGAAAACAGCGACAGCAATAGACGCATTTTCAAGGTTAAGCCAATCCAAGGCTGTGTGGAAATGCACGATTTCATATGGATTGGCTTGAATAGATTTGATAGTGTTCAAAACGCTTTTAGCTCTTATCATGTAAAATGCTACAGAGGCTACACAGAAAATTATCATGAAGAAATCCACCATGTTCCAAACAGACTTGAAGAAACCTAGGCGTTGTTGATAAAGGTGAACCAACATAACTATGAGGTAAAAGAGGACCATTGCCATGAACAGAAACTGGCCAATTAAGAAAAACATCAGAGCTCCTGACTCAGTGCTGTACAACTCCAGTGTTTCAATTCTCCTTGTAGTGTAGGCTGCACCAGTAGCTAAGGCCTCGTAAAAGTATGTGGCAACGCTAATCAAGTTTGTATTGACATTGAAAACAGCAAACTCTAGAATTACAGCTCGAGTTTGGCGATCAAGCCATCCATTAGTAATAGTCTCGTCGAGGACGCCTTGTGCAGTGCTTTCATCGTATCCCATGACTGCTGCATAACCACCCCCTTCATAAGAGTTGTACGACGCAAGAATGGGATCGTTGCGAAGTTCTGCTGCTGATTGATATCGCCAAGGCTTAGGGCAAATTTGGAGAGCATCAGGCCACGAAGTATTGAGGGAGAGAGGTATCCAACCTGGAAGGCTTAGCAAAGTCGTGTCCTCATTTTCTGGAGAATAGTCGTAATAACATTCTGCTATAATTCTCGAGAGTAAACTGCAGGAACCTTCAAGTAAAAATAAATAGAGAGGAATAAGTTACTCTAAGATTAACAGTTTTCTCAAATGCAGATAAAGTGAAACAGAGAAAGAGAAAAATGCTGAGCAAAAAAAGAGCACGTCGGTAAAGTTTCTTGATATCGAGTTGAAGGTTATTGTTCTAAAATTGCTTTTGAGTCAAGTCGTAAGCAGCGAGTTGAAATGTATTCTAGACAATTGTTTTCATCTTGTTGCTATGCCCTATCTCTGCGCCTCTAGTATTATAACTAAGTGTGTTAGTCACGAGCCTTTTAATTTCCAGAGTTACAGTTTTCGAATTGATTAAGCCATTATGATATTTTCCTCTTTCAACTAGCACTTTCCAATTGTATATTAGGGATTTTTTTCCCACCAAGTTAGGAGCTCCATTGTCCATCGTCAAGTTCAAACAGTCCTCTGCGATAACCTGTTTGTTTATAAAAATGATATATTCTGACCAAAGTTTACTTTTTTTAATTCTGAGCTGTCGCAACCAGGGCATTCCCACCAATATCGACATCTTGTTCCCGATGTACACATCGTTTTTCTCTTCAAGTCCGTTGTACCACGCCTGGTTATAGATGTTTAATATGAATTCGCTCTTTAACCATGCTCCTAAACCGTGCGCATCCTCTACCTAGAATAAAGAATAAGTAATTATAAAATAAATACATTAAGATCTAAGGACCCCGCAAGAGGATAGAATGTGTGATTCGCATGACTATTAGACAAACAAACAATTAACGATCAAGCATTAAATCAAAAGACTAGAACGAAGTAAAGGGGGAAAGAGACTAACTGCCAATCTTAAATGCAAGTAGGAAACAATGAATAAAACATTAATAAACAAAGACTTCAAACGCCCACTGCACTTAATAGCAAACGTGAGTTTGAAATCCATAGAAACACCGCTATTACTTTTTTGTAAAGGTAAAAGTCATTATTTTCATCAAGTAGAAAATTGCTTCAGTACAGATATATTTGTGGTGAATTAGTCTGCTTACTTGCCATCGCTAGGTGTGGTATTGCGCCTGACTTTGGTATCTATTTCTCTGTTAAAAATCTACGAGTCTGTTATCTTTCTCTGATACAAGGGTCGATTATAATGCGAGATAGCTTTTGAACACTGCCAAATATTTTATAACTGCGGACAAAAAACATTTTTAATTTTACCAGATTAAAGTTAGTAAATCGATATGGAGTGGCTTGCATAATCATACTAATCTTACCAGATTAAAGTTAGTAAATCGATTTCTCATCTCGGTCGTCATCAGAAAACGATTTCCATTCTTGTTCCCATAAGATACGATAGCCAGAAGAAACACAAATATCAAATGCAGAACAATTTCTCTTGTCATGCTTGTTAACTGAGCTTCCTTTTTTGATCTCTCCCTCATCTTTTCCTGCTGATATTTCTTATAGCGCTGTTTGGGATCATCGCCCAAAAAATCTATCTCAATTGCGAGTGAATCGATAGTGGTCTCTTCTTCTTCTTCTTCTTCCCATTTGCCTCTGTTCTTTTTTGTGAAGAGAAAGGAAATAACCATGACTGCTATCATAACCTTCGTGGGCTGTACAACGAAAATATCTTGTCCGTTGGAAATGAGAATAGAAGCAAGCCACTGTTCAGAGGTTTCCTTTCCCCACATTAAACTGTAAAACAGCGTAAACGTTGCTGCTGCCATTGTCGTACAGAAGCAGAGAAACCAGCTCAAATAAACAAAGAAATGAGGAAGCATACAACCAGTGTCCGTTATTTCATCCAAAAGTCGCTGGGCCTCGTCTGTAACTTGGTATTTCTCACTCCTTTTCTTCCTCGGTCTGCTAGACTTAAACAAGAAGGCAATTATTATGTTTACTGGTGCAATGATAATGCCACTTTGTACTCCGATGACTATCTGTCTCCAAGAAAACTTAAAAGGCCCAACCTGTATAGCACCATCAGATTCGCCACCAATGTTATAGAACATGGCATTTGCTATCATGGCACTAAACAGAACTGAAAGGCAGCATGAAGCTCTTTGCACACGTGTAAAGGTACTGCTACATGCTTTCCCAAACACTGACATCCACAAGTGACTGTCGGCAAGTTTTCTGGCCAAGCGCGAGCGAACCTGAGCTGAGAAGGCAGAGTAAGATTTGCTGTCCACAGTTACCTCTATTTGGCCGTCATCTTTTTCCAACGCAAGCCATCTATTGATGGGGAAAACCCATCTTTCTTCGGTCTGACGATCTTGGATAACTACGGTTTCCACAAACCAAGACGGATTGTTACCCGAATTATCGTGATCCAAAGTAATTTCTTTTAAAGGGCCAATGGATTCTTTCATCACGAGAACAAAGCCGTTGATACTCCCTCGTCCGAAAAGCTCACTCGTCTCCCCTTTCTCTCTCAATGGAATTTGACTATGCCCATAATTTTCGCCCTTGATACTGATGGTTATGTTAGCTGTTGTTGCTGAATGTTTCCAAACGCCCGTGCTTATAACCATATCGTAATAATAGGCTCCTTCCTTCACGAGCGGTATCAATTTAGGAGAGCAAATCTGAAAAAAAAAAAAAAAAAGGAAGTATTCAAAAGTGCAAATAATTCCAAATACACGTCTGCAGGTTGAGAAATGATTACCTTGTCTACATCTCTCTTGTCGGCCCTCCTTGCAAGGATTAAGACAACGAAGTACAGAAGGAAAAAACAGGCAATTGTAACAAGTACTGAAATATTGCCACTTTCAGCAAGGTTTGAAAACTCTGTAAAAACTTTGTCGAAGTCAATTGGGTTTGGTGCTTGGATGAAGTTTCCACCAAAAGATGTTAAATGATTGCAGAGACATTTAAGATGGGTGGTGTTCGAGTCTTGGCTTACCTTTAACGAAAACAAAAAAAATTCAATTAAGCGGAAGAAATGAACATTATCTTGAGCATTAGTGTATAGCACACAAGGGATTAGTGCTTTTCGCGTGCGTTGATTACCCAGTTCGAAAATTAATAGCAAATTCATCTCCGAGCAGAAAAGCGCAAAAGCGCGAGTCAAGAGTTCAAATTCCTATCGTGTTTTTGGTATATTGAAAGAGTACAACTACTTTTTTGTGTCTGTGTGAAATATATTAAAATTATCTTTTACCTCGACTTCTGTAAATGATTGTTTCCAAATTAAACTCAGGCACGATCGTGATTAACTTAGAAAAGTTTAATCCCGAGCCGAGTTGGTGAATTGCTTTAGTAAACGAACCCTGAGACCCGTTCGACACAAAAGAGAAGAAATAAAAACAAACAAGTTGATTAGTTGTTCTAACCCTATATTATTTGTAGCAACAGCTCCCTTCCATAGAAATGTTAAGATTGCTTTCCTTATCGAAGGTAGGCGACAGTGACAAATGCATGAGGGATTTGACTCAGTAAAGCTGACTTAGCAGTAGTAAAACTAAGAAATGATTAATTTTTACCCGGCAACCTTCCGCAGTCCACTTTTCTGTGTTCTCTGACCAATACAAACAACTCGACTGGGTGATGGTCAAAGTGTAGTTAATGTCTGTGTTTGGATCATATTTCGGAATCACAGTGCTAAGAGATCCTTTTGGCGGTGGATCTTTAACGCCCACACATGACCGTCGTTTTCGACGATTACCAAAACAGGATCTTCTTTGCCTAGAATGTTGACTTTCATTCTTAGGGCTTTTAGACAATAAGCCCGCGTAGACGAAACCTGGCTTAGAAGGCATCACTGTAACCGAGCTATCCCTTATAAAGCAGGTTGCATTAGCATCTGTTTGGTTGTCACATGTAGATGTAAACACCATTGTAAAATTGTGGTCAAAGTCATTTATCGTTGGTCTTTTTCCAAATTTTATGAACAGATTGATTTGTATTCCCGCTTTGGCCATACTCAACTTAAGAGATACAGGAACATTGGCTAATTCTGCGTAATAACTTCGAACTGAAATCTGATTTGGCTTGAGAAAACTAAGCTGCGTCCCGTTGGTTGAGTTCTGAGGTGGACTGGAGATGGGAATCAAGATCTCAATGTCATTGTCAAGATTTGATACATTTATCTTTTCCGCGCTTTTACTTTTAAGCTCAAGAGTCGTGACGTGTGATTTGATTTTCTTGCTGCTATTGTCCCAAGTGAAAGGGTTAAAATCAACAGCTTGCATCTGAAAGAGAACACAATATGGTATTGGTAAATTTATTTGACAAGGGTGATTTCGGGAGTTTTGCTCGCGTAGAAAAAAATAGATTTTGTCATTTTATCATATTTATTGAGTATAAATGGGGACAGGAAAGTGTAGTTACCAATTAAGGCTGCGATTTCTAGAATAAGAATGGCTAGCTAGGATAAGAATGGCATCATACCTTTGCATTTATCTCTCCACCACCTATATTCCCAAGGCTGCTCGGGAGCTTGAATTTACTTGGTCCATCTCCCATGCTGAGTCCTTTTGCATCATTAGCTGTGACCTTTTTCAGCGATATTGCCAAGTTTGGAGTTTTAAAGAGCAGATCTTCTGATGGAACCAAGCGGCCAAAAAATGCATCAGTCATCTTGCTCAGTTTTTCGGAGGCCTTTTTCACGAACTGAAAGGAAAGTGAAAAAAACTGTTGTTCAGTCACATGTTTACGTAGTCAATACGATGACTTTTCCACTTTATTAGACCTAATAAATCGTAATACACTGTTCTTCCTCGCTGCCTTCACTGGTCTCGCCGTTTTGTTCGCTTAATCTAAACTCTATCTATTTAAATTGACCCATCCTGAATTGGTGGCAAAAACGAAACTGATCTCTGTGACATGTAACTGTACTAGTGACCTTTACCTCTGGAGAGGGTGGGGTTACTGCCGAGACTATGTCGTCCTGACTCGAGCCCGCAGCGGACTTGAGAACATTTGTGAGGCAACCTGTAACACTTGAAGCTGTTTTTTCTAATTCCGGTGTGAAAGGCTCCTCCGGATCGTTAAGGGTGGAAATCATCATATTTGCTGTACTATCAGTCAATTGCATCGTTAATTCCTAAGGAGAATAACACCAATGCGTCATATACCGCACTGGAATTAAAATTGTAAGGAAAGATTGCTGGATTGAATAATTTAGATCATTCGCAAATCAGATGCATGTATGTTTTCAAAATACAAATGGCGAATTACTGAAAAATAATAGAGATTTCATTTATTACGATTCACCTGGGAGGATAAGCTTGTTGCTTATCTCGGTTACAAATTGAAATATTTCATTCATTTTCGATCGGGTGCATCGTTTTCTGGGGATAATCTGTCAGTTATGGTTATCATCCTTAGGTTTAAACTTTAATTTATGTTAATAAAAGGATTTAAAAGAAAAAATAGTGTTGTACCATATTGTTATTGTTGCTGTTACCGCCACCGTCACTGCAGCTCTCGCATTTTTGTTCAGCCTCCAGTCCCATGGCCAAGCTTACTACTGACATAACCAAGCGAGACATTTCAAGATTCTCTGGTGTTATAGCTGTAAACTTTGATATCAATGTGTTGGAAATCTAGCAACAAGAAGAAATGTTGCGCCTCATTAACAAATCGAAAAGGCTTTAACTGCTTCTGTTCTGTTGTAAAGCACGCAGAAAGCGGCTAGAACACGAAAGAAGTGTACGGAGAAACAGGAGTTGTAGTTGAGTGTTTGTCCTCACTTCTTGAGTGCTCTAGCCACTTCCTAAGTGCTGTACAACGGAACAGAGCACAGTTTAGGCTTTTCTATCTTTTATAATAAAGAATCCGTTAAATTCCCCACGCATTACTTTCAATGTTCAAAACAAAGTTTATTTCCAGAGCGAAAAGAGGTTAGTCAGCATGCTCTATACCATAGCCAATCAGAGTCCGTGCTAGAATTGTTCAAATAATGGTTGAAGAAGACGTAAGCTGTCAGAAGTGTCAAACCATCAAAGTTCACAATATACAATAGTTTAGAAATTTAAATACCCTGGTAGGTCGAATATAACACTTTTTCCTGAAGTTTTATAGTCTTTAGTACAGAACCTGAAAGTTAGATGTTCAAATATATTAAAGCTCACATGGCAACCAGGTGGACAGTCGGACATGGTTTGATGCCATTCTGGTTTACAGATTTTATGAACGTAACTGAAGAAGTTACGATTCATAGACCCAACGTTTCGACACTCCTGTCTGGTACCCTTATCAGGGATGATCTAAAACGCTGCAACAAGAGGCCTTTTTATACGATCACTAATTAGCTACCTTTTTTCTGACGGGGTGTAAATGGGAATCAGGAAGTAAGCCACAATCATCACGATTTAAAGGAGCGTGGGCGGAGTTAATATGTCAAGCTTTCAAACAAAGGCGCTGGTGGCAACGCCGATTAATGGTGATAATTTGAGACTTATCTCACCCAAGTGTGTGCTTATTTAGGCATGTGTGCTCCGATAAAGCTGAGTTTTCTTTTTTGCAAAATAAAACCACTTTTTGATGCTCTTTCAAACGTGTATCAAACTGACGTTTGGTCGGTCTGATGTATTCGTTGCCACAGTCATTGCAAGGAATAGAAGAAATGGTGTCGGTTCGTTGTACTTCCGTGACAGGATCCTTAACCGGTTGCGGCTATTCAAAATCTCTTGATGGGTTCCGTAACACCCTGAATGTAAGGAATAACAGCAAAACCAGTCGCTGGTTCCCTTTCATTAGGAGAGCTACTAGTTGTCACACGTTTTTGGCAGTTACGGAGAAAAGTTTTTGTACAGCCATTCGCCTTTAAGACATTAGAAACATATCTCCTCTCCTCCATCTAGACAGTCAGCCCTCCTGAGTAAAGTTTTGGCTACAGACTAGTGACAGACTACGGACAAATCCAGCAGACAAACTTTTGGCTACAGACAAATCCGGCCGAATTGTGGCTCATAAAAGCACGTAAGTGTTTTTTTACACGTCAACTAGAAAACAAACTGCCTAATGCGTGTGTTTTATGATTGAACATCAGCCGAATTCACCGGAACATGAAGATTGCTCGGGATGACGGCGCCGTAAAACTCGGCTGTTTTTATTGATGTGACCTTCCTTTCAACGCATCCACTCAACGTATCGAAAAGGATATCAGAACAGGGTTTTAATTATTCACTCGAATGACGGCTGATGAAATTTCTGAGGCTTGCTTCACTGCGATGTTAGGTCTTTTTTTTCATCATTCCTATTTTGTTCTGTTTTGTTTTTTTAAGACGAAACTCTATATGTCGTACAAGTGTTACATGTTTTTTATTTTTATTACCGTCCGTAAGCTTGCGATCTAACTAAGCGTGAAAATCTTATAAAATGACTCATTGCATATAGAAATATGCTATTTGTCAGTCAAGAGGAGCGGCGAGCAAGCGACACGGTTCACTGGTGAAAATAATGATATAGCCAATCAGAGGGTCGATGCGTCGTTTTTCACTAGTAAAAAATATCCTATGATCAATCAGCTGGTTTCTCTGGCGCGAAGAGACTATTTATGCTTTTTGGCGCGTAAATCGCAATTGTACGTATATAATAAACAACAACATTTAATTCTGAAAGTTTAAGTATTGTTGCGGACTGTATTTGAGCAATTTTATTAACGTACCAACGTTTTGTCCTTAGGGTCCAATTCTTGTCCACATTCGTTTTTTTCATTTGCAGACTTGAAAACAGATATACCAAGTTGAACAGCTCGGCTGAGTTCACCCTTGTTGAGAAATTCATCCAGCTTGTTACCTTCCCCGACTATAAAACTTTTTAACTTGATTGCAACTTCCTCTGGTGATGAAGCACATGGATCAAGGCCAGATGATGGCCTCACCTGCAAGGGATATGTGAAATATATTGTAATATTTTTTGGAATGAAATATCTTTTTGGCGTTTGAGCTAAAATTCTAAGGGCATTATTGGATCCAAGCGGCAATGATATAGAATTGGATAAAAAAAGGCTAGCGAGCACCAATAAAGATTAGGCCGTGTTGAAACCAGTTTCTAAACAGTGTTTATAAATTAAATTGGAAAATGCAAAGATTGTGAGTGGCGTTTTTATGGGTCGCGTAAATAGTTATTTTATTGAAAAATTCCCCCGTATATAAACAATTGCAGTACCTTGATAAGTAATTTCTCTACAACGGATACTCCAACCGCATTCTTAATGACAATAGTGACTTGTTGGTGGAAATCTTCGTTCGGCGATCCTGCAGGTAACACTGTCGACACAGAAGAGGGCGACGTGCCATAGGACATAGGCTCCTCTCCAAGTGCAAATTCATATGTCAGTGGCAAGTAAGTATCCTGCCAATCGAAGCATTTAAAAGTAAACTCAGTCTCCAGTGAGACGCCTTCAGAGAACGATGGTGCGCAGTAACCATTTTCCGGCTCTCCAGCGGTTTCAAAGAGGAGTACAGAAAACCCGTATGCTCCTTTCAAAGATGCTACCAGTAATGTTAGATTATACTTCGATTTGGATTGTAATGAATTTTTATTGATTATCATATTGGTAGAATTTACAGCTGTTGAAGTCATATTGGGTAAAATAGGTATATTTTCCCAACTGTCTGAACCCTTTAGCATGGACAGACGCCATTCGTAGACAGATCCATTACAAGGAGAATTAAGACACTCTGATGTCACCCGCAGCTTGTTTGAGGCAGACACTATTGCGCCACAATCTATATAACATCTAAGGAAAAAAAATAGAAAAGCATAAACAACTCACGAAAAGCTGTAAAATTAACTTCAAGCAAATGGGACTTATTTAACTGAACTCCCGACATCAATTTCAGAGGTGAAACACAGCTTTAGTAGATCGGTGAATAGCGCTTTCAAACCACCACCTGCTCGTCTTAAGTAAAGCAAGTCAATGTTAGTTTCGGGGCAGTTTTAATAAAGAATGACTAGCCTTTTCGAGTCCTACAGCTAGATACAAGTTAAGCTAGTTTAGAGAGTAGAATACTTATTGTAATGTTAAAAGCACCCCACCTCTCTATTCTTTTTAGGAGGATTATCGTCTTCACTCTTCCATTGAAACGTTGCATACCTTTCTTAGGGTCTCCCTTCCCATTTTAAGCACGTTTGCTTCTGGGAAACTGTGTTTCGACAAGTAAAAGCCAACTTTTTTTAGACTATACACATTTTTAAGAGCTTTCCTGTACCGATTTCTTGAGTATTACATTTTCTCCAATTAACAGTTAATGCTACATAACAATCACCTGAGGGTCACCTGTGGTACCTCTCCTGCAGCTATCATAAAGGACATTTCGGTAAAGGAAGTTCTCACATCCTTGGACACATTCAGCCGTAAAAAGAAGGTCTTCTCGATCTGAAGTTTACTTGGATCAATAGTAATGATTGTAGGGTTTAAGTCTCCTTCGTTTTGAAAAGAACCGAAACAAGTGTTGCTTACAGAAGTGTCACTCCGACAAGACCAACTGAAATTGAGTCCGGTATGCATTCCAGGGCCAATGTCTGCGTCGTAACTTAAAGAGCCACTCACAGTGACGTTTTCCTTGGATCCCCACCGTACACTGCTTCCTCCATCAAGAATGGCTCGCAAGGGAGCCGCAATAACCTCGATGAAGCCATAATCAAAGGCGTTGAGAATTTTTGGGGATGCTGGATCTCCGACTGCAAGCGTCGCATTGAATTTAACTTGATAGATACCAGCAGGTATGGATCGTTTGTTTATCGTCCACTCCGTTGTCCCTTGACTAACTATAGTTCCTAATGCTGACTCCGAGGCAGCTAACTCCATTTCGCTAACCACACTCCATTCAAAGGTACTTGTCAGTACAGTTAAATCTTTATTTAGACCCTGTATCAGGGCTTCGCGGACACTTTTGACCGAGCGTTGCACAGGTGTGGCCTGATACTTGTCTTTTGAAATGTTTCTAATGGTCACTGAGAAATCTCCTGAGGATGATATAGTTAACATAGTTTTTGCATCATTTTTCTCCCTCAAAGAAAAACAAACGTTTGAAATGGGTGTAATGAAATATGAAATAGCCCTATGATTTACATTTCAACGATCGATTTTCAAGGTCTAGATAAAATCCTGCCTTTAACGGTACACAGACAATAAAAGGATCGTAATAACAAATTATCAGCTAAATATTCTTTCACTGTAATTTGACATAATTCTTACCAACGGGCTCACATGATATCCCATCACCAATGTAGTTTTTTCGGCACTCACAGCTGAAGGATCCCGGATTGTTAAAACAGTACATGACGTTATGAGATTTTCATTCGTCGATATCTAGAGAATCATGGAACGAATTTCGAAGTTTAATTGATAGGTAACCAATTATCAGTTGCTTAAACATCTCGTCCTTAAACTATAGTGCATTGCCATAGAGAACGACAGGCAACGCCTATTAACCAATCTCTCACCTCACAAGATATACCCTGCATCATGTACAGTGAAAAGATCCAACAGTGTTGTACAAACAGCCAGTTTTTGTAGTACATTCGTCGATATCTAATCAGCTGAAGGATCCTGGATTTTAAAACAGTGATCAAGGTAATGACAGTTATCAGAGCTTAAAACTTTCAATGTGTGTTTTCAATTCCCTCGATATCTATAGAATCACCAAGTATCCTGCATTCATTTCATCTAAGCAGAAATAGCAATTGTTCAAAGTTATCCCATTAATGAGCACCATCAACAATCTCACCTACAGGCTTCACTATTGTTATGATCTAATACACTTGAAAATGTTTACTTGAAATAAGTGAGAAAACAGAATGTTAAAACAGTGAGCAACTCCATGACAGTTATGAGCTGATATTGCACATTCGTCGATATCTATAGAATCATAGAAACGAGCATGAATTTCGAGGAGTTTAATTGTTTCAGGTTGCACCAATCCAATCCACCAATCAGTTGCTTTCAACTAACAAAAAATCGCGTCCTTAAACCTAGCAGTGCATTACCATAGAGAACATAGAAACATCTCTCACCTACACAAGTTGTACCATTTCCTTCATACCCTGCAATGCATGTACAGTGAAAAGATCCAACAGTGTTGTTACAAACAGCCAATGGGTCGCAGTTGTGCACATTTGTAGTACATTCGTCGATATCTAAACGAAAGAAAATAGCTGGGGTAAAAAAAAAAAAACGCTTGAAGCGTTTAAGACACCAGTGGTTATCAAGGTAAAATGTACCCACTCTATAATAAAAACAGTTCAGTTAAAACAAACTTCTTTAGCTATCAAACTTCAAACCAGCGAATTTTCCATGGTGCTCCTTGTTGTAGTGACCCATGAAGTTTGGAAAAAGCAATGTAAAAACTTAGTAAAGTAGCCTTAGTCACCGTGTATTTCAATAACATCTCTCTCGTTTTGCATCATGTGGACAGAAAATCCACTAGATGACCCACAACACGAGACGCACGGTCGTGTAGTTTTACATTCACGTGATAATACACATTTCAATGAGTAGTACGTACCTAGACAGCTCACGCCATCTCCTGAGTACCCATCTAGACAAGTGCAGTTATATGAGCCAAACGTGTTGTTACACTGAGCATTCACGTCACAGTTGTGTTTCTGATCCTGACATTCATCTTCATCTAAGCAGAAATAGTAATTATGGGAACAAAGTCATATCCCATCCTTGAGTATAATCACTATCAACAGGCTCGTGCAGATTTCAATATTGTTATGGACATTTAATACACTTTAAAATGTTTACTTGAAATGTGTGAGAAAACAGAATAAAGATTGCATGTAAATTTAACCAGTACAGATGCCTGTGTATGCATGCAGATATCCAACGAGCTTTCAAATGAATTCATCAATAAATCATTAATAAAATAAAAGGTTTGGAAAACTAACTGACCATTTCGAATACACTGAACACACACAAGCATAAGTGAATGCCACACACAGCTGTTCTTAGTATGACTCGTTATATTCATCGTTACCTAAGCCAAGATGTTTCACTCTATTTATTTGCTCTGCCGTTAAGGCTACGTCATAAAACTGCATGGCAGCAATTCTTGCTGTCAAATAACGAGGATCGTCTGCTTTGACACCAACTCTGACGTTATCCTGTGTACCCAGCGTTATGCCGGCCCCGATATTCTTCTCTACTACTCTCACTCCATTAACCCATAGACTTGCCATTCCAGTTATATAGTCGTAAGAAGCACCAATATAATGCCATTGGTGCGTCGCCAAAGGCTGATTAGTCCATAAAGGATGAGATGTAGCTATGTACTCTCTGTTTCTGAAGTGAGCGTAAGAATTTCCATTCAACCTTATCCATAACTGAACAGCCCATTCACCACTTGATTTGTAATTGAATATAGGCCCATCGTGTGTATTCTCAGGATACAGCCAACATAACAATGTGATTGAGTGTTTCAAGTCTAATCCCCCATCGTTTGGGAACTCGATGTAGCTGTTCGCATGCCCGGAAAATCGATAAGAGCCACCTATGTCACCATTCGGACCTATCGCTAAGGATACATCTCCACGAATGCCTTGGGGTTGTTTATTAGTGATCTCCCTTGTTTCAAAGAAACTGTTTAAAGGAAAAATGGCTTTTGCTTCTGGGATATTGGCGGCTGCAAGAAAAGTCATTAACGAGCTAACTTAGTATTTTGCAGATTGTAGTTTATATAAATTCAATATTGGCAACTAAAGACTGCTACCTAATCAAAGATTTAATTTATGTCTAATGGGACGGCACACTTCATCAATACGGTATATCTTTCCATTATCCATGTTCAGTGCTATATTATATTGTGTGATTCCAATCATAATAAAGACATACCTTGCACTAAGCCTCGATTAAAATTAATGTTATAAATAGAGCGTAATGTATAAAATTGTGTATTTCATTTTCATCGATAGTTATAGCTGGGAAGTCAGGTCAAGTTATGTATCTCACCAATTCAATCAACATCATCCCCTGAGAATCCTCGAAGACAAGTAGCATTGAATGAGCCCATAGTATTGTTACATTGCGCCATTTCGTGATAATTATGAGTCCGCTTTATATGAGTTCCTGTGTGTTTGACTACTTCTCCTATTTAACTGTCTATTTGTCTGTCTGTCTGACTGACTTTCCAGTGCAACCTTTCGGCTTATCTGTGTGTTTCCTTATAAGGATAGACAGCTGACTGTAAAATTCTAGCATTTGTTACACCAGTTACGTTTTCCTGACTACCCATGGAAAGGAGAACCTATGAAGCTATGTCTTCAACTTGCTATCAAGCTTCCGTGGCTTAATACAAGGAGAGCGTCAGTCAGTTAATGGAAGATTAAAACCTCACGTTTTAACGAACGTCACTTAAGGTTACCTGAACAACCGAACAGCTCCACCCTCATTGCTATTCCCTCCTGCCAGTTAACTGGACGAAATCGGATGTAACGTCCCACGATAGGTGGGCTCAGGTCATGATAAACGATTGTCTTCTGGTCATAATTCCCAGCAAAGACCTTGATAAATGGAGCAAAAGAAAAAACAAACAAACAAACAAACAATGAAAAGAGGAATAAATTTTTCATTTTCTTAGGGCGATAAAAGTGCAATAATTAGATTGATAGTTAATTAGAATCGAATATTTCCTTATGCAATTAACAGCACAACTCTGATTTTCCTCCACCAGGTCAACTTTTTTTTTCGTGTTTTTGACACATTTCACAACAACAATTGACTTGGAACAATGTTAAAAAATAAATAAATAAAAATAAAATCCAGGGTTTTTCTGGCAAAATCTAAAGATTTATTTTTGAATGTTAGTTTCCTCTACGGAAAGGCAGCCCTGCTAATATTGTTATGGACCTTTCTTATTGTCCCTTGTTCCATGTAATATTGCAGGTAACTTTTTTTATAGCCATACTGTAAATTGTAGCTGGTAACCCACTTAGGCGAAGCATTCATTCCTTGTGTGGCAACTCGTTTCACGATGATATCGTTATTTCGCAAATCGATCTGGAGCCACTGGTCGCCATCGTCTTTCAGAGGCAACCAAGTTCCCTCGCTTAATATTAGTCTGCCCTTAGTCGACGCATGATCTGCACTCAGTTCTGAAGAGGCACTAATTTGTCCGTCAGAAATGGCACCGTTTTCCATACCAAGGGGGTCTTGACATTCTTTATATTTCAAGAACATAAACAAAAAGTTATAATTGAGATTATATCCGCACCTATTCTCCTTACTATAAGAAAGTTAAAACGGGGGACGAAAAAAAAATTAGAGGGAATTGCATTAGTTTCGGCTGAGGATGTTAACGTCAAGGAGGAAAATATAACTATTTGAGCAAGAATTTGAATATGTTGTAGGACTCTTATAAGCGAAATGGAGATTTTTGGTTAGAGTCTTGTGAATTAAAGGAAAGCTTATAATTTAATGCCAACAAGACCATGAGCGTAAAATGGAAAATGCTATAACCTTTTAAGAGGTTCAGATATTCAAGAAAACAAAATGAAATAAAAGTGCACGATATCTTTCACATAAAGGATAAAAGATAAGCGAATTGCAAATCATTTGTTGAACAACACAAGAGTTCTTATCAGCAATTCAAAATTGAACTTCACCTAGACAGCCGTACAACTCTACTCGCATAGTTACCCCACCAATCCAACTTGTGGGTCGGAAACGGATGTATCTTGCCCTGATTGGTGGGGAAAGGTCATGATACACAACGGTGTCTTGGTCTGTATTGCCAGCGAAATTCTAGAGAGATAGTTGGAAAATAAATCTTATGAGACGAGAGGTTATTGCCACAGGCGCTTTTTTTTTTTTTTTTTTTTAACATCAGCCATAATCAGAGTAATTACGCTATTCCTTCGATAAGTTTTCTTGTAGTTTTTCTTATCAGTTCTGAAACTGCTCTCCACCATCCCCAGAAAATGGTATGTACTAATAAAATGTCATCCCAACATACCGCCCTTAAACCTTCGTGTGGATCAGTTTGCATTTACTTGTTAAACTGACTAAAGATAACTTCTGCAAGACAAAAATACGTCCCTTACCATGTCCTTTAAGCTAAATCATCCCCAATTGGTTTATGACGCCCAAATAATTTTTAATGGAAGTCGCGGCCACTTCAACTCCTCAATTAACCTTTTAATATCCCACAGCAACAGGCTTTGAGGAATGAATAACAGTATTTTAAGGGCTTATTCCTAAGATAATTGCAGTGTTTTGCCCTGATTTACATTGAACTCTGTATTCTAGAAATTAATCGCTTAGGCGAAGTGGTTTTCCTCC